GGCATTGCCATCCTCCTAATTGTTTAATACTTTTTCTTGTCGACAGAGATTACTTATGTTGGTTCCTAAAATATGTTATCGACGAGTGATAGATGGCTGTAGAACGTTCAAAATGTAAAAGTCAAGTGTAAAAAACAAAAATCAATTTATTATACTTCGAGCCTAAATCAAAGGAAACTACAGCAATGCCTTATCAAAAAGATTATTTTTTTTTCAGGAAAAGTATAGCATTAATGATGTTCAACAGAAGTTTAGGTGAAAGTATGAAGTATGATTCATTTTTACAGTGAAGCAACATTTAAAGGTGGGATCATACTGTTGTAACTTAAGCTTTAAATTTTCAAAACTTAAAATTGATTTTAATTTTAATTTTAATTTTTTCTTTATTTTAATAATCACATTTAATAGAAAATTAAGATGTACCCTATAAAAAGGAAGGAGATTTTATAATTTGGACACAATATAAAAATACAACTCGAGATACTTGAATACAAAAATACTGCATCTATATTTTATATTATATTTCTATAGTTTTGACAATTTGATTAGAGGCTCGTTCTTCAACTTCCTATGGTCGTGCTTATGGAAGAAGAATCGACTGTGAGCCATATGAGTTTTATCTTTGAGCTGGATAGTGCCAAAAGAACCCGTACGAATGGGAAACAACATGACTTTAAGACAACGTCGTTGACGCGACTCCCTAAAATTTGCATTTCTAACTCGTTTTTTTTATATATTTATATTATTGTTGAATTATGTTTATTGTTATTTAATTGATTATGTTGATCGATAAATATCTACACACAAATCATCCAAACATCTAAATTGATGAGCATTGGCCAAACTAGGATCCATTTGGCTCCCATTATTTCAAATTTTAATGGATTGAAAAAAGAAGAAAAGGTTTTTTAATTTACAAATAATATTATTTTATAAAAGATTGTGTGTTTGAAAATAAAATAGAGAAAAATAAAAATTAAATTAATGGGAGCCAAATGGGTTCTAGATAGGCTTCTAAATTTTAAAAAAATTAGATACTTGAATTTTGAGCCCCCGTTTGGCCTCTATTAATTTTTATTACATTATATTCCATTTTTCACTTTCCTATTTTCTATCATACAATCGTTTATAAAATAATATTACTTGTAAATTGAAAAAAAACATCTTTTTCAGTCACTCGTTTTTAAAAAAAAAAAAATATTTCATCCATTTTCATTTTCCACAAAATGGGGCCCAAAGGGGCTAATTGAGACTCTTATAAGATTTTGTTCACCAAATTGAATGCAGTACATGTGACAGACATATCGACGTGTCTACAAAATGTGTTGTGAGCTCGACACGTGCAATAGGGGATCAATTGATGTGGATGTTTCGTCGAATCAATGCATGTGATTGATGCTGCAGAACGTTGGTTGGGTCATTTCAAAATAATTACTAAATTATTGTTAACATGCATTATATTTGTCTGTCAAAATACCAAATTCGCCCTTATAAAATCTACATTCTACAATATATTAAAGGGTAATTATATCCTCCACAACAATTTTTTTTTTTAATAACAGCTCAATATTTTATATACAATGTAGATTTTCAATATTTGTTCACTTTTATTTTTATATCCTCAACATTTTGTACGTCGAATTGTCATTCTTATCCTTCAATTAATTAATATATTTTGTCTTTAATAATGATTTTCATCCAAATATTTTACTAATCTGCATTGAAAAGATGGACAAATATTTTACTTAGCTTTTATATTAGTTATTTATTTCAATTATATAAAAATCTGAGAGAGAAATATGTTTTTTTGGCTGTCATACCAAATCTTTTCAATGAAAATCATCTTTACAGACATGACGTGAAAATTTATACCAGTTTGATGATAAAAAAAATATTTAAAAAAGGTTGAGAATAAAAGTGCAAAAATAAGAAAATTTTAGAGATATGCATTGTAATTAAAATGTAGTGAAGTTAACAAAAATTTTAGTGTTAATGTATTTACCCTATATTAAAAGTGTGGATTGAGGAAAAATTTTTGAATATCAATTTTACCCTTACAATTCCGTCCTTATATATTTAATATAGTGTCATTTAATATAATTTAACTTCATTTAATACACATTTAAGTATAATGCCCGTTGTTTTATATTGAAGTACTTAGAATTTCACATTAATCAAATTAAGTTTAATTACTTAAATTACTTTATCTAAATTATGTTTGCTACTTAAAATCGAAGTTCACATATATAGATGTAATTTTATTATGATTATATTATATAATATATTGAATGTTGCTTTAATGTAATGGTAGATTAATTATAAAATAAAATAATATTTATTATAGTTTTTATATAATTATATATGAAGACGAGCTTCGATTTTAAGTGATTAAACTTAATTTAAATAATATAAAATTATGATTACTCCAACAAGAAGAATGAACTCCATAGGGACTACATGAAATGAAATTGTAATTAATCTATAATTAAATCTACCTTTAATATATTATTTTATATGTACATGCATATATATTATAGTATTTATTATTTATATACGTTATTTTCTCTTAAGCATAAAAATTGATGGTAATCAATTACTTATTAGAAAGAAAAAAATTACCTTGATAAAGTTAAAGGGAGAATTTTTATTCCTCTATTTATATTAATCTCATTCAAAAGTGCCAAAAAAAAAAACTTTTTTTTAAAAAAAATTTTCACTTCTATATCTGTTTTGATTTTTAATTTGAATTGAATTAATATGACGAGCATGATTAGTACGTAATTTTTTTTCTCCCTAAATGTGTTTAGATAAGATATTTTTGGTTTTCACTGTTTAAGGTAAAAAAGTTTGAGTGACGGACAAAATAATAAATTTTTTATTTCGAAGATCATTTATGTACCTTTAGTTTACTTATAAGTAAACATTTTAAACTTAAACAAATGTACATTTTCTAATTCGATTATTCTTCATGTACGTTTGTACAACAAAGCTGAGCGATATCGCTGAAATGATTGCAAATAGAAGTCCAACCAATGTCTAGTATAAAAAAATAAGTAAACAAAACATTACATTTCAATTTTTCAACATTTTACGCATATCATTCATTGTACATAAGACAGGTAATATGCATGCTTACTACTAGTAATATAAAGGGTAATTATATCCACACTTTAATATTCATTTGTTGAGACACATTTTAATTGTAATTTAGAATCCCCAATCAATATCATTTATGTAAAACATGTTTCACCTTAAACATACATTGTTTGGAAATTATTTAATAATAAAGTTGACATGTATGAAAAGATTAAGGACCTTTATGCAAGAATTTCACGATTGATAATTGATTGGGTCAATAACACGTGGAGCACGTTACAGATGGTTTGAAGAATCCTCCCTCACGCTGGTTAGGTGAAAATCTTACTTTTCTTTATTCTTTTGGCGTGAATGGTGTGTGCGTGAATAATATTTTACTGATGTCACGTGTTTTATTATTTAAAAGTTAAAACCGAGGGTTACTATTATATTAAGATAATGTGTGGCCCACAAGTTTGTGCAAATTTTACAGAAGGCAAGTAAATGAATATGCCGGGAAAACCTCGGTTTGATAAGTAAAATAAAATTTTTATGTATAAAGTTATAAGATATATGAGCAGTTATTTTATTTTTCTAATTATCCTGACAAGCTAGTAAACGGATTTAAGCAATCATTAAAACATTCGTAGTTGAATCATGATATTGGTTTGTTTTGGTAATAAATACTTCGACCAATTTTGTAGCTCTACTTGACGAAAATTTTACATTCAGTTGATAGAACCCTCTTAGTCAAGTCGAATTTAGTAACTAGTAACTCATTGTTGATTCCAAGTGAGCTCAAATCAATATTAAAAATGTTATATCATGATTGCACTTGAGTAGATCTGTTAATCGATATTTTATCTATAGTAAGAGTAAAATTTGAACTATTTGAATCGTATCGTTACTTGTTCTGTAGTTTCATGAGACAAATAACACGACTGAAAGATTTTACATTCAATTAATAAAAATTTAAGAGTCAATTCGAATTTAGTAATAGACTTCAACTCACTTTTGTAACCAAGTAGAGTTAATAAATCTTTAAGAAGTTTAATTGTGATTGTACTTGAGAATATCTATTAATAAATATTCCATTTAAAGTTTATGTGAAAATTGAGCTCTTGAATCCTATTATTTCTTGTTTTTCAAGTAACACATACTCGACTTATTATTGTAGCCCACTTGAAAAATAATAGGACACATAGATTTTACGTTCAAGTCGAAATTTAATGTTCCAACTTTTTTAGGGACAAATGAAGCCTTTCTGCTTTCTTCTCGGTTCGTTCTGGCTCGTACATTCAATACTCTTGTCCCCTGCCCTTTTTTGGTCTCGATACCTTTCGTTAAAGAAAAGTAAACTGCCTGTGATGTGGTAAGCGAGGGACCCATGGCTTAATGTTTTTGAATTTTCTGCTCATACCCCTCAAAATCGTGTAAGTACTAAATACCTGTGGTTATCTTGTATAAGTAAGTAATGTCTTCCTCTCAAAATCATTCAAGCTAATCTTCCTCTCCATTCCAATGGCTGCCTACTCTTTCACGAGGCCACAGTATGATCTTGAAAACGCCGCCTCCTACACTCCCATCCCTGACCGACCAGCATCCGCCTCCTCCACTCCGGCCGGTCATTGGAGATCCAAGAAGCTTCTCGCCGGCATTCTCTTTTCCTCTGTATTCTTACTTTCCTTAATTCTTCTGTTTGTTAACCAACAATCCGAATCCCAAACCAAAGTCAATGGCACCAATCAAGGAAAATCTTCAACTCCCAAACCCATATCGCCGACAGCTCGAACTGCGCCGCCGTCAAGAGGGGTGTCCCAGGGTGTGTCGGAGAAGACTTTCCCGCTAGCCAGCGGTGAAAATGCAACCTACACGTGGACCAATGCTATACTGTCTTGGCAACGAACTGCTTACCATTTTCAACCAGAAAATAATTGGATGAACGGTAATTCTTTTTCTTTTTCCCCATTTTTTGATATTTTGAAAATTTTTGTTTCAACTATTATGATTTATCCTTTGTAATTTGTCTGATTCTTTTGCCAAATTTTGTGGGATGAATCTGGTGCCGCCTTCTACAGATCCAAACGGTACGTCTTCACAAGCTTTTATCTTTTTAAATAGGTATACTTTTCATGTTATGAATATAAAATAAAAAGATAATCGCCTTTCTAACAATTCAATCTAATAGGTAATTTATACAAAGATACAGATTCTGAAATCTTGAGTTGCCTCATTTAGTTAGATGTTTAAAATTTAGCTCCTATTTGGTAATGATTCTTTGAAACCTGCTTTTCTTAAATTTATTTCAACAAAATTTTCATGATTTTTTTTTTTTCGCACTAGCTATAAAATTTTCATATTTTCTGACTACATAATCCTCATAAAATCTTTTCTCTAAAAATTTATATCATAATTAGAGTTAAAGATAACGTTTTATCTATTTAGATTTAAAAGTTATCTGAATTTGCTTGCCGACCACAAAATCCTACGTGTAATCATTTAAATTGGACTAAATTTTTAAATAAAACGTACAATTGTATCTAATTAATAAGGTCAAAATTAGACCACAGAATCTTTGTACCTCTGAATATTATTATCTCTACCTATAATTATACGTGTGGTTGTTTGGTCCTCAAATCATAAGTAATAACTTTCTATATTTAAAATTTAATAATTTCTAATACTATTATTGAGTCAAGAATGGAAAAAAAAAAATGAGTGGTGGGCCTAGTATTTACAACATTGCTGATCTGGACTAGAAATAAAATAAAGATAAAAAATCATGTGGGTTGAATGATGATTGAGTTTTTGCTACTGCTAGCAAGAGGGGGGCCAATGACCAATAATAAAAAACCGTGGGCCCCACTCTTATAAGTACAAGTAGGATAAGCCATAATGATTTTATATGGTACGTGCACCACTGAGGGGTCAGTTTTTGCATAATTGTTGGCCGGTCTAAGGCCAGCAATATTGGAGTTATCCACTCGCCGTCGTGATTTGGATAACTCTAGCACGTGCAACAGCAACACGTCTTAATATTTTTTTCTCAAAGGACTTCTTTACAGTTTATATAACTGGATAATTATGTAAATAATAATTAAAAAATATTTATAAGCAATTAACATTATTATTTTTACTAATTTCATATTTGATTCAACTTAGAAATTGAATTAAAATTTAAGTGAAAATCAACAATTAAAAATGAAAAGCAATTAAAATTATTTTTTTTTTTACTAATTTCATAGTTGGTTCAACTTATTTTAAAGAAAATAATGGCTAACTTATAAATTTACTGATTTTCTTATTCAGGTAGAAATTACTATCAAACTAAAACTAAAAGCAAGTTCGCATACAAATAAAAATGAAAAGAAAAAGAAAGTGCACGTTTGGTTAAGTGTACCAAACATACTATTACTTTTAAGTGATGATTTTTACTATATTAATATTAACCAACTATTCTTTAATTACCTTACTCAAAGCTTGTTTTGGCACATATTTTTGCAAGGAAAACTGATTTTTTATTTTTTTAGAATGTATAGGGAAAAATCTCCGACAAAAAGCCTTTAGAAGCATGAAAATACCACTCATCTTAAATTTTACTTATTAATTACTTAAAAATAACCTCACGTATTATTTAATTTTTAAAACCTTTTCAAACTCATAGCATCTATACGTAGACAGCCGCAATATGAGATAACTTTTGAGCTTCAATTCTTGCATGCAGGTCCATTATTTCACAAGGGATGGTACCATTTGTTCTATCAATATAATCCAGATTCAGCTGTATGGGGAAATATCACATGGGGCCATGCAGTATCAAAGGATCTTATTCACTGGCTCCACTTACCATTTGCAATGGTCCCTGATCACTGGTATGATATCAATGGAGTCTGGACCGGGTCCGCCACAATTCTTCCTGACGGTCAGATTGTGATGCTTTACACTGGAGATACATATGATGTTAAGCAGGTGCAGTGTTTAGCTTATCCCGCCAACCTATCTGATCCTCTCCTGCTTGATTGGGTCAAGTATTCGGGTAATCCGGTTCTGGTTCCCCCACCCGGTATTGGAGCAAAGGACTTTAGAGACCCGACTACCGCTTGGCTTAGCCCGGATGGTGATAAATGGCGGATCACGATTGGATCCAAGGTTAATACAACGGGTATTTCACTTGTGTATGAGACGGTAGATTTTAAAACTTATGATATGTTAGATGGGTATATGCATGCAGTTCCGGGTACGGGTATGTGGGAGTGTGTGGACTTTTACCCAGTTTCGATGAGTGAGATAAACGGTTTGGACACGTCGGTAAGCGGGTCGGGTGTTAAGCATGTGCTGAAAGCAAGTTTGGATGATGACAAGAATGATTATTATGCACTTGGGGTCTACGATCCAATTGAGGATAAGTGGATACCGGATGACCCAAAATTGGATGTTGGAATCGGGTTAAGATATGATTATGGTAAATATTATGCTTCCAAGACATTTTATGATCAGAATAAGCAGAGGAGAATTTTGTGGGGTTGGATTAGAGAAACTGATAGTGAATATGCTGACATTTTGAAGGGATGGGCATCTGTTCAGGTAATAATTACTTGACTTTTCATATATCAATCGGTTTCATGTTTGTGGTACGAAGATGACTTATTATCTCTTTCTTGCAGTCGATTCCTAGGACTGTCATGTTCGATCAGAAGACGGGGAGTAATATACTTCAATGGCCAGTCAGCGAAGTGGAAGAATTGAGATCAGAAATCGTTGAGTTTGATAATGTAAAGCTTGGACCGGGATCCATTGTTCCGCTTAAAGTTGACACACCTTCTCAGGTTTTGTGTTTTACCCTATAACCAGTAAGGAATGGTAAATTTTCCAATTTTTTCACCTAGGATTTGTTTTGTGTATGTTGCAGTTGGACATAGTTGCCTCATTTGAAATTGATGAGGATGCATTTGAAGGAACAGTTGAAGCTGATGCTGATGCTGATGCTGGTTACAGTTGCCCTACAAGTGGTGGTGCTGCTAATAGGGGGGAGTTGGGACCTTTTGGTGTTATTGTTCTTGGCGATAAAACTCTATCAGAGGGAACCCCTATCTACTTCTACGTTACCAAAGGGACTAATGGAAAGTTTGAAACTCATTTTTGTGCAGATGAATTAAGGTATAGTCCACCTCATTAAACAAGTTATTTCCCAGGTTGATGTATATTCCTAGCTAGTGGTTTTGACACTTGACATTTGGTTTAGAAGTCACCTTTTATCTAGTGTACATAAGCAAGCCGTGTTTGTAACTTGTTTGAGCCTTTGTATAACTATATGTATTTTTTATGCAGATCATCTCTGGCTCCTGATGTTGACAAAGTAGTCTATGGGAGCAAAGTCCCTGTTCTTCATGGCGAAAAATACTCCCTGAGATCACTGGTATGTGATAAGGGATCATATTTTTCTCCTCGATCCCTTCTCTTTCTAGCATCTCATTACACATTTTTTGTTTATGTGCTTATAAAGCAAGCATGTTAGTTCAAAGAAGAGAAGCCCCTGAAAAAATGTTCCCTAAAATCTGTTTTTGGTCAATAGTGTATGTTCACAACTTAAACAAGTTCCTCACACACGGCTCAATTTCCTTGCAATGATCATATCTTAAAGCACGATGTGCATAATATACTTTTGAATTATAGTTGGAGGCTTAGAAAAGTTAAACCTGATACTTGTGCATAATGTGCATTCACAGTTTAGATCTTGAAATTTTCGAAAACCTATGTATAGAAAAGTCATGAAACCTGATACTTGTGCATTCGCAGTTTAGATCTTGAAATTTCCAAAAACCTAAGTTTTTCATCACCATTCTATGTCCACATGTTTACAAGTTGTTACTTTGGGCTCAATTTACCTTGCACTAATCAAACCTTAACGTGTGTGCATAATATTCTCCTCTGAAGTTCAACAAGTTAAACTATATGTAGAAGTTAAAATATCTATCAACTTCCCATCTTGCATTTATCCGTGTTGAAATAAATTCAGGTCGATCACTCCATAGTGGAGAGCTTCGCTCAAGGAGGCAGAACAGTTATAACGTCGCGAGTTTATCCAACAAGGGCTGTTGATGGAGCAGCACGAGTTTACTTGTTTAACAATGCTACTAAAGTGAGTGTCACAGCATCTGTGAAGATGTGGAACATGGGTTCTGCTGATATTCGTACCTTCCCCTTAAATGAGCAGTGACTTGTCCCGAATGTTATAATCGTCTCAACAAGTTGAAGTCGTCTCATTTTTCTGCTGGATTTCATGTTAATTGATTAAGCACATCCAGCAGCAATATTTTATTATTTTATGGATATTGTGATATAGTGTTTGTGCCCAAAATTGCTCTCGAGGATTGATCTGCTCGAGTCTGTTTAGCATTCATCACTCTACTAGGGAAAGAGAAGTGCATTTTTATCTCGTAAATATTCTTGCTTTCTTGTAATGAAAAAAACATTTTTCTATTTACTATAATTGAGATTGCTTATTTTTAGTAACACATCTCCGGTGTTTCTTTTGTTGGTTGTGTCATTTTCATTTTTTCTTTTTTATGTTTTGTGATTGGAGAATCTCCAATCAATCATGCTTGTTGTACAATGATCATTAGCTAGAAAAGAGTGTGTGTCATAAAAATAAAGGGTTTGCAACTTTATATAGTCCAAATACAAATAAAATTTAGGTCAATTCTAAGCATGGGCAAAGGTTGTGACGATCCTGAAGTTTTTAATGATTTAACAACTTCGGTGATGATTTTGACACAAGAGAGGACGTTTGCCATTTTTATTGGCTAAAATCGAGAATTACAACCAAATTTACAGAAATCTTTGCTACCTTGTATTTTGTTTGTTAAAATCATAAATTTAAAAATAATGTTATTCATATTCAACGACTGAGATAGCTATTCTATTTGACATCTTGTTATTTGAGGCATTAATTTCTTAAAATTTTGTTGCTTGAAATAAAAGGCAAATATTTCAAATAACAAGCCGCCACATAATTAGATTACTACAATCGTTGGTTATGAATAACATTATACTCTAAATTTAAAGCAATGACCGATATTGAGCCATAGAGCAATGAAAGATATCGATCGGGCTGTAAAGGCCTGTTGACATGGTTCAATGAATTCATAAGTTAATTATTTAAGAATTAATTTGTAGTTTTCTTTTTAATATTATAATTTCGTCTTTAAATGTTGTTAAAGAAATAAAACAAAAATGTCATAGTTATTGTTCATTTTCCCTTGCACACTACTGAGAAAGATTTCAACTTTTCCCTTTTACTTTGTATGTATTGCATTCTCCTTTTTTTTTTTTTTTTTTTGGTTTTAAATTAAAATAAACGTTTACAGCGAATCCATTTTCACTTGGGGGGGTTGATTTAAAAGACTTGATCAAACTAAACATTTGTCCAAGAAAACCAAGAACTAAGGCTTTTAGTTGAAAGGCCTAAAGTTATTAAATATGGAAAATAGAATTTGTAAAAGACTAAAATATTCTTGTATGTAAAATGATGTTATTGCCCTAATTTTCATTTCAATTTTCTTTCAACCCTAATCTCCTTTCCTCCTCTATGAATGACTCGGCCACGGTTGGTGCCTCCATGCTGATTTTCTTATTATTATCTTCTTCTCTACTTAATGAAATCACAAAATCTACATTCTCATTTCCTTGAACATTCATTTGGTTGAAGTGAATAATAAAGTCTTGCTATATTTTTATTGGGCATTTGGAGAAGAAGAGAGGGTATGGAAAATCTTCAATATTTGAGCCACTTTTTTCTCCATTATTTTGAATCATCTGTTCATGTTGTTGTATATGTGTTTGTGCTGTTCATTTGTCAATAATAATTTTGAATTCATTTTATGATTAGATTGGAGCTTTAAATGGGTTACTTCCCAATCTTATTCTCATTATTCCTTATTTATATTCCTTAGTTTTAATTGAAGTAAAATGTGAAGTGGTGAAGGATGATTGGCTATTCTTCTCATTGTTTTCATGTGAAATATACATTTGATTTTTTCAGTACAGAACGACATACATATCGTTTTATAAAATCGTGAACGACATAGATATCATTTTTTGAAATCCTTGACAATGTACATATCGTTATCAATACTGTATGATGTTTGAAATTTGATGAAATTTATATGTTGAATTACAGGTTATGGAACCACATGGTATGGATATCGATTTGTTATCCAATTGAATATGAGCAGACAGTTGAAGGTGCATGGAAATGAAAGTATTTTGAAAATGGCAAAGGGAAAACAATACCTATTCTTGTTGCAAAAATAATTTTTTACATGGAACTATATGATAAAGTGAAGAAGGCATTGAATATTGTTACGAGTCTACACAAAATCGAGATTTCAGCTCTTGTCTCGATAATGTCTAAAGCTCCAGCTGCACCAATCATAATTGATTGTGATAACAATGTAAAGTGATTTATATCTGCCTGTACAGAAACCTTTCTTTGTGTAAATATTTTAAATGAAGTTGTTGAGAATCAGTAAGATTTTGGTGATGAAGGATGTTTATTAGTAATAGATGGTGGAGAACAAATTGGGAATATAAACAACGAGGCGGAACATGATCGAACAGACAACGATGGTAATGATGACAATGGTGATGAAATATTTGTAGATTATAATGGTTTTATATCATGACTGCGAATAATACGGAATCTATAAATGGCTTGTTGAAGAGTGCTCAAGAACTTTCCATAGTAGGTTTAATAGAATATATTTGTGGGATACTACAAAGGTGGTTTTACAAAAGACATGTTGAAGCAGAAAAATGTGTGACCCAACTCACGCCAGCATTAGAGAAAAAAATGTGCATGATATATAATGAGTCAAATGGATTGGAAGTAAATTAGGTTTCTCCGGATATTTATCAAGTTGGTGACAATTTAGAACACCACTTTGTGAATTTTTACGAAATGACATCTACGTGTAGAAGATTTGATTTGGACAAGTTCTCATGTGCGCATACAATTGTTGACGCAAGGTTTAAAGAAGACGAAGGCTACAAATTATGTACCCCCTTTTACACTAGTATTTTTTGGAAGCAAGCTTATTCTACATTCGTATATCCTTTGCCGAACAAGGTTGAATGGCAAATTCCTAAGAAAGTGATAGCCAGAGAAGTATTTCCACCATTGGTGCGAAGACAGGGCGGGCGACTGTCAAAAAAGAGGAAAAGGGCGGCCAGAGAGACACGTGCGACTCGTAAGTACAACAGATACAAGAAAACTAGTCACGTTTGATCCACTTGCACGGGCCAAGTAGCTAGTAGTGAATCTTAAGGTTGTAACACTATCGTGTCGTGTAAGTTTACGACTTCGTGCTTATTATTTCAATTGAATGAAATGACTTATTAGATTATGTAGTTATTGCATTATTAAAATATTTTTGTACTATTGGAATCAAATTAAAGTATTTTAGGTATTCATGTTCATTTTTCTCACAGTGAAGGCAAACTACGTTCATGTCGTTACAGTAAACATGAATGTCATTCCAGTTTGAAAATTGTACAGATTAATATAACGATTTAGAACTCATTTCGCAGACACAAAACGACATGCATATCGTTTCAATGTTCAATACACACTGCTTCCCTGAATTGTGTAACGACTTAGAACTGGTTATGACCACACATAATTACTTCGAAGTCATTTAAGTTAAAAATTATTATTAAAACGATTTAAAACTCATTCCTATGGCACAAAACGACATGCATATCATTTCAATATTAAATACACTAGTTCTCTGAATTGTGTAACGACGTAGAACTCATTATTACCACACATAACGTCTTCGAAGTCGTTTCAATTAAAATTGATACTAAAACATTTTGGAACTCATTTCGAGGACACAAAACGACATGCATATCGTTTCAATGTTAAATACACTCTGCTTCTCGAATTTGCGTCATTTCACTTAAAATTGATACTAAAACAATATCGAACCCGTTCGTGCGACACAAGACGACGTTTACATCATTTCAATGTTAAATACACATTGCTTCAGTACTTAACGAGGATTGGACGCATATCGTTTCTTCTCATTCAGAACGAAATTGATATCGTCCTAGTCTAATCGTTCCTGAAACAACATCCATCTCGTTTCATTACAAACTTGTCGAGTTCGAAATCGTTTCAGCTAAAATAATAACTACAACGACATCGGTATCGTTTCTTCACACTTGAAACGACATTATTATCGTTATACTTAAAAATGACGTTTCGGCCATCCACAGCCATCGGTATACGTCCCACCGTATGTATGACGATAAAAATAGGTCATCGAGCCGGTTCAATCTCACTTGAACAACGCTATGGTAACGTTTGTGATTTCATAGTTGTCTTTCACACTCGAGTTGTTTTGATAGAAACAGGGCATCTCCGTTGGCCCTTTCGGGCCATTCGAGATCTACCAGCCCACTTGATACTCTCTTTCAATCATCATACACATTTTCAAAGGTATGTCGAGCGATCGAGATGAAACGTCATTTTTAGGTATAACAATATACATATCGTTATGTTCTCGAAAAATGACTTTGAGGTCATTGTAGATGTTATATAAATCGAAACGAGTTAGAAGTCATCAAATTTTAAAAGAAACGACATATATATTGTTATCTACCAAATAGTAAAATAACATAACGTCATCCATCTCGTTTTATTACAAAATTGATGAGTTCGAAATCGTTTTAGTTGAAATAATAACTACAACGACATCCGTATCGTTTCTTCATACTTAAAATGACATTAATATTGTTATGCTTAAAAATGGTGTCACGGCCACCCACGACCACTGGTATATGCCCCACCGTACGTATGACGATAAAAAAAGGTTATCAAGCCTGTTCAACCTCACTCGAACGATGCTATGGTAACGTTTATGATTTCATAGTTGTCTTTCACACTCGGATTGTTTTGATAGAAATTGGGCATCTCCGTTGGCTCTTTCAATGCCATTCGAGAGTTACCGGCCTACTTAATACGTTCTTCTGATTGACACACATTTGGGAGGTACATCGAGCAACTGTGGACGGTCAAAAAGTCGTTTTCAGGCATAACGATATGAATATAGTTTAAATTTTGAAGAAATGATACCAAAGTCGTTGTAGTTATTATTCCAATTGAAACGATTACGAACTCATTAAGTTTGTAATGAAACGAGATGGATGACGTTACGTTATTTCATTATTTGGTACATAACGATATATATGTTGTTTCTTTTAAAATTTGACGACTTCTAACTCATTTCGATTTATATAACATCGATAATGATCTCAAAGTCATTTTTTCGAGAACATAACGATATGTATATTATTATACCTAAAAACGACGTTTCGACGTCCTCGATCGCTCGACATATCCTTGGAGCAGTCTCAGTCAAGAATATCCCAAGATTCAAAGTGGTCAGATAAAATAACATTTTCTGCTGCCACCTTTTGAAATTCGAGCCATTGAATTTCTCCGATTTTTCTTCA